CTTTACCAACTCTTACTCCGTGGTCGGTTCACCCACCACAGCATAGAGCTTCAGCTATCTCAAGAGAGCCGATACGTTAGTGTTAGTGTACTATAGTGCATATAGATCTATTCGCTCTTGGAATCTGCTCAGTGCTTGTGTTGTATGGCTGGCAAATTTGTACCTGGCCTTTTTTTTAGAGATTTTCTTTGGTTTTGTGTTATTCCTGAAGCAAAAGTCTATGCGACATCGCTGCTGTTATATTATCCGCTCCAAAACCTAGGGGGATGGATGACATTAAGGCATTAATTTTATTTTAACCGAAATTTACATATTCTGACATCACTTCAGAAATAAAGTCAATCCTTACCGCAATCCAATTTAATAGTTACTATTACCGCTAGTGAACTTACTTTCGTTAGAAGGATAATCTGCTTTTCGTTGAGTTTATATGTATTGTGTCCATTCACGGCGTCCTCCGTGTTACCTTCAATATTGCATCCATTGTCCGCGTTTGTTTATGAGTATCTCATTTACAATATCTTCGATGCGGACCTCAATTTCTGGTGCTAAGCTATATTATGCTACGTTGTGCTGGGACTTTATAGAATCGATTCTATGGAATAGGCATAGTGAGCGAATTAAAATACAGCGCCTACGGTGGTTTGGTCATGGTTCGGTCGACGAATGACCAAAGAACCAGAAACACGAACACAAATAATATAGCCCTGGATCCTTGCAGAGGTAAAAATGCCTCTGTATCGGTACCGAAGTAGCCTAAACGGCTTACAAAACTGCATGTTACGTCGGGCGTCAGCTGGTGGACAGCGATTAACTTGCGTCTGGCTTGCAAGCGGAGACTGCACTGACAATAGACCTACCGTGCCAGTCGTGCACGTTGAGGAACAACATCACCGCCCACAAGTCCTTTACGGGTACGAAGCCTTTTGAACGCAAACTCGTCCCTGGTCCCAGTGGTTAAGTGGAAACCTGACGGCTGAGAACTGGAGGTCTGTCCTAGTGGATCTCTGCCAGATGTACAAGGAGATTCCCCAGAAAAATCCTAGCCCTGCGCCAACTATCCGCGACGCCGGCCTCTACTAAGACTGCGTAAAACTGGCTTCTTTCGCCTATGAAAGGTCGTCGCGACTCTATAAGGAAGACATATCCCCTCTTGGGGAGCTGTGGCGCAGCGCTGACTTAGTAGCAGTGCTCAGGGATGCAATCCCTTGCAAGCAGAAAATACCTTGAGCGGTACTGCTCCTAACTCGGAGGTTCCCGAGGCCATTTGTCCGGTGGAGAATTCAGACTCGGTAGCATAAGTAGAGGGCGATACGCAATCTGTTTCTGGTGACGGTCTGTACTTAACCGGGGGACGAAGGAATTCGAGAACGTTCTTCTGACGTTCAGAGGGCGCCCATGATTCCTTTGTCGAGGCGTTCGATGGAGCCCGCTAGAAGTAATGAACGGAGAAAGAGTTTTGTAAGCTGTGGATGTATGTCCTACAGGTAAACCATTATCAATCTAAAGCAGTTTCTGCAGCTCTGCTAAATAAATGTATTTCTTATAATATACTCCCACAGTTCAGAAATGAGGACACGGTGAGCATCTCTGTGGAAAGCCAGTCCATGACACTCTGGCTGGTCTCGTCCTACAAGGCCTACGATCGCCAAGACTACCCTTCTCCGCTCAGTTACTGGACGCGGTGAGAGAGACCAACTCAAGGAAGTCTCCCATTGTGATTGGAGCCGATGCAAATGCGTATCATGCGGTATGGGGATAAACTTACATCAACCCCAGAAGTGGGGTGTTACTGGATTTTATATTATTATATAATCTAACTCTCTGTATTATTGGCAGTATACCCACTTTTGTTACCTCAAACAGGAAGGAAGTATTGGATATTACTTTGACGTTTGGCTTTTTCTTTCAGATTACTAGTAAATAGCATATAATATATGAACATTCATTCTCTGATCATATCTATATCTCATTCGAAATCTCCTTTAAATATCCAGCCTGGTTGATTACAGAAACAAGAGACGCACCGACTGAACTAAAGGAGGTACTTTTGGGGTATCTGCTCAATAACGTTTATCTCGGTATGCTAGGCTTACGGTCACCACCTGATGAAGCGGATCCTTCAACCGGAAACCTTAATTCCCTCGGTGAGTTTAGCTCATCGGACAAATCGAAGAAGCCGTTGATTGCATTACCGATGCCCGCAATGCCACCTTCTCCGCTTCCTGCCCGATTGCAATTCCGAAGGGAAAGAGGAAGCCACATAGATGGATCAAGGAAATGGCCTCTCTCAGGAAGGAAAGTATGAAGCTTTTCAATAATTTTCTCCAAGCACTGGCAGAGTTTGTTCGGCGCCTTTTATGCAGCAGAGCTCTATATTCAAAGTTGGAAGAGGTATACGTATCAAGATATGCAAACCGCGGCACCCCGCAATTCGTTGTCCTATCCCCACTCCATTGGAATCTAACGGTGAAAACTCTGATGTCAAAGATGCAGGGTACTGCTTACGTTTATGTTTTAGCTCTGACGGCAGTTGGTAAGCACCCCTCACATTCTATGTGACTTAGTTCCAGTCGCCTTGTGTGTCGTGGATACCTGGTCCAAATAAACAGGCCTTAGTGTCAATCCGGAAAATCGGTTTTTTTTTTTTTTCAAAGAAAACGAAAACTGTCTGGCTACAGTTTCTTTCTTTTTATTGCATTGCGCTGACTTTTTCGGAGGAAGTTATATATCTGGGCGTTATTCTTGACAGAAAGTTAACTTGGCGGCGCAATGTAGAAGTGCGTTGCGAGAGAGCTATAACTCCCATGCGTGAATGAAAAGATGATCTCGTAATCTGACTCAGCAGCCGTCTATGTATACTGATGGCTTCAAGTTCGATATGAAGGTAGGAGTGGGGTATACTCGCAAGAACTCTCACTTAGTCGTAGTTTTTCGTCTGTCAGATCTCTGTAGCGTTTTTCAAGCTGCAGTAACATTATTATTAATCTACATGCAGTAACTATCTTTTCTAATATCCAGGCAGCTATTAAAGCACTTAATTGTGACAAATTTACATGGAGGAATGTTATGGAATGTAGACGTACTCTAAATTAGCTGCCAAGGAGTTACGATACTTATGTAGTATGGTTGCTTGGCCATAAAGATGTACCGGGCAAATGCATTGCAGATGAACTAGCAAGGAAAGTAATCTTACTGTCTGCAATCAGCACTGCTCGTGATGCGGGAATTCCGCTATCTTCCTGCAAAATCTGGAAAATAAATTTTCGAAAGGGAAGATACGAGATGGTCTGCGGAGCACAGGAAGATATATATGGCCTACGTTGGATAAGCGTAGATCTCGTCCTCTCCTCCGCTTGGAGCGACCACTGCTCCAACATGTAGTTGGACTTCTCACTGGGCACTGCCTGATGGGAATCCACACTGCGAGAGTGGGGTCGGAGTCAAATGACTACGGTCGTAGCAGCCGTGATGACCACTGGCCGGCTTTGACGAGAGCTCGTTCCTCCTCTATTCTTTCTTCACTTCACCAGAGCTAGAAATTGGTGCTATTTGTAAGGTAGGAGGAGGGAAGTAATGAGTCCCTAATATGGCATCACAATGGCTTAATGGTGGCCTAAGTGGCTCTTTTCTTATGCGGGCAGCCAAGATAGTCTAACCTAACCTACCTCCTCTGAATGTTTTTCAGAGCGAGGAAGGCTCTATTGCTTTAATGTGGGGATTAAGAAGCGAGTACATCCATCTACTATCAGCCTTATAGAGCAAGAAGAGACTCTGCGCGTTTTCTTCGTGGACCTGCTGGCTTAAAGGATTTTTTCCCAAACAGAACCAGTTAGTGCTATGAACTATCAAACTCTAGGAAAGAAACCCATATTTTGTTTACACGACGCCGGGCCAGGGGACTATGGTACACTACGGCGGCCACTGTAGCCGGGTGATAAGAAGTGCGCACTACCACTCCACAGGATCAAGGAATGACCCCTAGAAAGAATTCTTGAAAAAGGTTTTTTTTTAATAGCCGTCGCCCATAGCCAAGCAATGGTAAACCTCCGAGTGCATTTCTGCCTTGAAAAAAGCTTCTCATAAAATGCATTAGCCGTTCGGAGGCTGTGTAAAATTGTAGGTCCCCCCAATTGAGTAATAACATCAAAACTCTTACCACAAATTGGAGGAGAAGCTCGGCCAAACAATCAGCAAGAGTATAGGCGCGAAAATATCATAATTATTACTAAATTGGACAAGTAACATCCGTCATTAAGGCTGATGTTTATGTCGTTAAATTATGTCTGAAGCAGTATTTGGTAGCACGAAGGTGTTTCTAACCCTGAAAGCAGACAAAAGTTGTTTTAATCTAATCTAGCCAAATTCCAGAAAATCTTGACTCCTATTTGCGACACAGTGATTGCAGAGTAGCTTTATGCGCTTTGCTTGATTTCTTCCGAATCATTTTATTACTTGTAATTTATTGAAAACATATTCTCCGCTCAAACTGAAAGATCTTGTCATCTGACTGAGAGAGTTCAATAGTTACTGTACTCAATGAATTCGGATTTTCCGGCCGATATCAAATATTTTTTCTCTTCGCCGAATTATTCGACGTCAGCTATGGCTTGTGTAGTTGTTTAAGGAAATGTGCTGCTACATTTTAGGAGAAGTTCTCAGTCGAAATCAAGTTTTGAAAGTCTTATAAAGTCATCTGATATTCGGAGGTGTGTTTAAAAAAATGCAAGGATCGCCCCTCGGCAAAAAAGACAAACATTCGATTTCATTTCTGCCATGAAAAGGCTCCCCATAAAATAACAACCAAAGAGGCGAGTAACTGTATATCCTTCCAGAAATCGGACGGTGTCACTTTCCGTCATTTGCGGAACATTCAACGTTAGACATTCATACATATGTATCTCACAACGGATAGTGAAAGTTTGTCCCTTAAAACGAGCAAAGGTGTATGTAAAGAATACGTATGTATTCCACAAAAAAGAAGAAAATTTAACGGTATATTTTTAATTGCAATAAAAATCTACATATGTATTTATTTAAGGTTTTCACTTCAAAAATAAATATCAAATTAAAAATGTTGCTACAACTGAACAATAAATAACTTCTCATTTGGAATTCCCACAGCCGAACTCCGCTTACATTTATTATTAAACCTACTCGATTCACATTTAAGGTACCCACTTGACTGTGGCGAATTTGAAGATATTTTTTATATTGATTTTTGTGAACAATGCAGCTCCTTAAAGCATCCACGCATTGTTGCACTTTTAAATTCCCATGTTTTCAATAAGTCGTTTCGCCTTGTCGCATAGCTACTAGGTTCGATTGCCTTCGTTTTGAATTAGTCAAAATTCTAGTCCGTGTCCACAGCCGAATCGTCAACTTTTGTGTGCCGAAGAAAATTGCAATTAAAACTAAACTAAATTTCTTTTTAATGCATACATACATACATGTTAGTCCATATGAATTTAAGTAAATTAATTGCTAATCTATGTAACTAAGAAGTTTACGCTATCTTGCTTAACCACTAAATAACTAAAGCCACAGCATTACTATCAACAGTCTGGAACGAAACTTTACGCTGCCGACGTCTGCTGTTGTTCGGTGGTTGTCGAAGCAGCTGTCGAGGCTTCTGTCGACTTTTCGTTAATGGCTAACCAAGGACAACGTTTCTGCAACTCCGCTCGATATCTCGGATGACTAATGGCGTACACGAACGGATCAACACAGGCGACCATTTTGCATGTACAAGCCGGTATCATGGTAACACCGGGCGTCAGTAGACTCTTGTCACCAAATGCCCCAATCAGTGACATAACGCCGTATGGTGTCCAAGATACAAAGAAAAGGAAGCAGATAGTGATAGCCGCCTTAGCGATACGTATTTCGGCGGTTTCCTTATTCTTGTCTACATTCGAACGTAACGACTCGACGTTCATTTTCTTAGCTTGTTCTCGTAGTGCCTTCTCATGACTGAATACATGTCCGACTATTTGACTGTAATAGTAGACGATCATCGATGTCGGACACACGAAGCTGAAGGTGAATATGGTGCCAACAAATAGGCGCGTATCGAAGTTGTCGGTTAGATAGTCGAAAGTACAGGAAGTTAAGTATCCCTCTGAAATGAAAAAAAAGAAGTGATCAAAATATTAAATGTTAATAATAGAAGTTATTTATTATGTTGGGAGAATTCCTCGAAGTCTTGAAAAGCACTTGTACGGTGCATGGATTGCTAAGATTTGCCATAGGAACACCGGTTTTACCGTGCAATCCGTACACTGTGCAGGGGCTTTGCAAGACTTCAAGAATCCCCCTATTTTTTATTTCAAACTTAAAATCAACCTCATACTAGAAAATGGCGTATGTACATATGTGTATATACAAACGTGTTGTTGTTGTAGCTAATATTATCTTTAGATAGATATCAGGAGGATGTGCACTGTGACCTAAAATCTCCTCACAAGACTGTAAAAAACGTGTTACATTTTAGACCGTACACATAAATAAATAAATAAAGTTCTCCAAATAGGCTATCTTTAGCAGCTGCTCCACTGCTCTCAACTCTTCCGTGATAGTTTACGGTCCTATTGGCCGGGTAGCTGCTGCTCCCAGTAGCGGATCCATGGGGGGGGAGGGGTTTGGTGGTTAAACTACGTGTCAGTCAGTGGCGGGATCATTTAAAGATCTTATGACCTAAAATAGGCTATCTTTAGCAGCTGCTCCTAAAATATGTGTGTTATTCGATATAGTGCAACTCATTCCCAGAGAAGATAGCATACGTTTCATTCTCCTTCTTTGTTATAACAGATTCTACATAATTATTGTGAGTTACGCTGACAATTATGCGTGCCTTGACGTTAAAACGTGGCCTGTGTCGATCCTTACGACATCTTCCGAGCCGAAAGCACAGGCAGCATGGCCTAAATGCCACCTATCTATAAGTGGGAACGAAGGTTTCGCACAATAATGGAAGAGGAGGGATGGCACAAGGGAATTAAACTTAGCCGTAGATCACGGACGGCTCTAAAATGGTAACGGGAGTGGGTGCTGATATATTTCCGGGAACTGAAGGTCAGGCGGGCAGTAAGGTTACCTGACCATTGCAGCATATTTCAAGCTGAGGTTTTCGCAATGAGGATAGCAGCAGATCTAGCCTATACCGAAACGACAATCAACTAAAAAGTAAACATATACATACGTACATAGTCAGGCGGAAATTAGGGCAGTTACCTCATATAGTATTTCATCCAAAAACGTCCTTCGCAGCCGGGAAGCCATTGACAGGCTGACCGCAGACAGAACATTGATTATCTAAAGGAGTAGAGGGTAAATAAATAGCAGATGACACTGACAAGACCACTTCTACTGCATTCGTAGACCACTCCACACACTGAAATGTCTACTTTGACGGGAAAAAACGAGCTCCAACTGGCAACGTTATTGACCTGCAGATCTATGTACGGCTCAACGCCGACCAGATGAACCTACTCTAACCTTTATAGAGGAAAAACTTTTGAAATTAGATACATATGTACTTTCATTTGCTCTCAGAATTTCTAGCCTGGTTGCCTCAAGGACTGCAGTTGCGGCCTATTATTTGCCTCAATTCGATTATCTACAAGCGAACCACGATGCATTCTGTGATTGCCCCGATTTCGAATCGAATCGAATCAAGTCTCTCAGCTCAATAGAGGTGACATGTTGATGATAATGACCTTTGAGAAAAGGTTCAAGACAACCAGGCAGAAAAACGCCATGGAGTAAGGCAATTATAGACAACGCTTTTAGGTTACTAACATAAAGGTAGTTCACAGATGGCTAAAAAACTGGCGAAGGCATAAGGGGAATTACTCAAGCATCTCGCAAGCGGAGGTTTATACCATCAGTGTTTGTGCGGAAGTAATTCTGCAGAAACGTCTAAGGAGGCGACAGATTGTCATCTGCGGCGACAGTCAGGCTGCCCTAAAAACCATATCTTCGTGTTAAATCAAATCACATGTATTTAGTATGGGAATATGCAGCGAGATTGAACACCCTTGGTTCAGGTGGGCATTGTAGGCTGAAATTCAAACTTATAAAATAAATATATAAAGATAAAGAAACCACTCTCGATCCAGAACTACGTCAGGGCTAAAGTTGTTGAAAGAAAGAAGAAATGAGGTAACTAGAGGAGTCTGAGAAGGTAGCGCAAAACTGGGGAAAAAACCAAATACTATAAAAATAAAAAAATTCGTGTCGATCCTCGGCACACAAGTCTTTTTAGAAGACACGCGAAAATGCACTAGTCGTTTCAGACCGTCTCAAACTGGTTATGTACTTGTTTCCATATACGGTGTATAGTTGTGTTAGTAAGAGATTCTTTTATGCGCATGTTTCCGACCGAAGTCATACCGCATTTCCAGCGCCTGAAATTGCTGACGAAAATTACTACTTTCCTCCCCTTTAGGCCCATAAATTACCGGTTGCAGACGGTCTAAAAATACTAGTGTAGCGAGGCTCATCGGCTTCGATCTCGAAACATTACTGACCGTTTTAGTCCCTGCCCTCAGGTAGATAATAACGGTGGTATTACCTTAAAACTATCTATGGGCAAGCTGCGGAGTGGGCGTATTACTTTTGTAAGGAGGAAAATATAAACTTTGCATTATTGATCACACTCATTTGAATTGTCTGTAACTTCGATAGACTTTAGACCATCAATGACGATGGAAAAATAAATAATCATCTTAAGCAGAGATCACACGTTTTGTACATTCGCACAGATGTTTTCGTTTTTACCGTTACAGAGTGGTGTTGTTTGAAAAGTTGTTGTAGAGCTGAACTCATTCTCGATAAAAATTTCTAGACAACACCACTCTGTGACAGCCAAATGTATAAATGTACAAATCGTGTGATCCCTGTTTTAGATCATCAAAACAATATGTACGTTGATTTTTATGTTACAAAGTTTGAACTAAACGCAATAACAAAATCTTTTAGTCTCATCTACGATAGCGACAGATATAGACACCGCTCTCAACTATCATAATCTTGATACCATTAAGATTTTAAATGTTGCATTTAAAATCCACAACCTTCTCCACGAAGCCTAACACAAGAAAGACTATAACGTATTTAGGACGACATCAAATCGAGTTGCAACGCGAAAGTAGTTTAAGATAGAGAACCAAATGGTCTTAGTCACCAGATTCCCCTTTTTAATAGTTTATATATTACTTTATGAGCTATAGTAAATATAAATAAATAAATATTAGGCTCACCTATCTTTTTTTGTAATTTTGATGAAATATAATTCTACTTTTATTGATTTTTTGTTACCGACCAAAACGCTAAAGCTGTATTTTCAGAAATTTTAAGAACATAAAATACATACATAAATATGTGGTATTCCGTACGATGTTCGTAATTAGCTGCCATGTGGGAACATAGCGTTATTATCTGCTGCAAATTGCTATCGGTTTCGATATACAGGCATTTGAGCATAGCTGCCAACTTTGTGCCTTAAGCACTAGATTTAAAGAAAAAAATTATTTAGTGCCTAGTGCCTTTTTAGTGATTTTTTTCTGAACTAAAATTACTCCGAGACAGTTAAAACCTGAAATAATTTGAAATATTTAAAGCTGTGGCAACACTGAATTTACAAGAATTTACAAATTTAAATGCACTAAAATACAACCATGATTGATAAAAAACTGAAGTTGCAAACCCACCTTGTTGAATTCTATCCGTGTTGAAAATGCTTATACGCATAGTGATGACAAACAAATTTAATAATCGATTAACCGGTTAATTGATTAATCGAAAGTATTCGATTAATAATTGCAATTAATCATAAGAAATTAACCGACTAATTTTCTTACAGAAATTTGATTCACACATTATTGTGTCAGTAAAATAGTCAGTTGTTGATGATGGCTCGATTAATCGAAAGGAAAATTTCGATACAATTAAATCGTTAACCGAATAAAAATAACCGATTGCTCAATTCTACTTGTGGCATCATTTTCGTTTGTTGCGATTCGATTTTTCTTTCACGATATGTGCCAGTTTTAATGTGCAGTACTTTGGTATTGCGTCGTAAGCCTGAGTCATCATAGCATATGTAGAGGTTATACAATCGTTATGAGCGAAAAGGTTTTGTGTAATGATTTATGTATGTATTCTTGTAAATACGGGTAATCTTTTGCTCTTGTTAAAACAAACTGTTATTAAAAATGCTTGCTTTGATTCAAAAAAATTTTCTGCTTTAATGTGATAAAACGTTTTTTTCCAAGTTTGTGGTCCTTTTTGAAAATTTACATTGGCAACACTGCATTTAAGTATACCCGACAATATTCGATACAGCATGGCAGCATTTTCTTTTAAAACGAGCACGTTATATTCTGCAATTAATCATCTGTCCTTGTCTAACAACAGGGATAGACAACATTTTCGACAAAATTCGTTTAGTTCAGTTCGGAAGCAGTAGCAAAAGTGGCGGCTCTAAGCAGCAGTATTCGTAGAAACAATTATTAGCAATCAATTTGTAATTTTTATGCCAAATAAATATTCTAAAATTCATTAGGTTGCAAAATGTTTGAATGTGTGAATAAACGTTAAAACGATCAAAAGAAAAAGTAGTGGTTCCAGCAAATATTGTAATTCAATTCGTTTTATTTCCCAAAAGGCAGACCAACAAAAGAAAACTAGGAAAAAAGAACAAAGTATGGCAAAAGCAAAGTAAACGTGTATGCAGAAGCAGTGGCTAGTGAGCACTTTTCTATGTACCATAAGTGCGAGCGGGACGATGCATTAATGCCCCAACTCACTCTGATCTATAAAGCAGCAAATGCATTTGAGTTTTACGTGAGTGCGTTGCACCGCCTACATTTCAGTATTGAGTGAACAGAAATACGGCGACTTTTAGCTTACGCGTTTTTTTTATGCTAACGGAACGTTACGTCGCCGCCAGCAAAGATAAACAAGCATAGGGGTGGACATACGAGTTCATACAGTAATATAGATATATATGTACAACCCCCAGTAAGTTTTGTATGCTGCAGTAGCAGTGTGGAAAAGGTTGCGTTCCTTGGCCTATGTAGCAGAGATCAGCACCGTTGACGCCGACTGCGGTTGTGTTTTTATTTTATCGCAGACGGCGCTGCCACCTAATGCGACATGATAATAAACGCGGCGCTTGTGGGCTATTTGATTAGAAACAAGTGAAAAAAATACATATATAAGCAACCACAAGCGTGTAAGCGAGAAGAAGATAACCTGATGGCTGTATATTTTAGTATGGTTGTTTATCTGCTATAAAAGAAATTATTTGTTTTGTTTTACATGTTAAGGTGGCAACGCTGCGTAGTTAATTGTTTTTATTTATACTGTCGTCGCGTAGCATTGCCGGGGCAGAGAGGTACAGGGCAGCGCAGTTCTGTCTGCGTAAATAGAAATATTGAAAATAAGTGTGCAAGCAAGAGAAATTATGAGGGAAATGGTAGAAAATTGCATGCAGTACTTATGCGTATTCAATTATAAGTGAAAATAGCGCAGTCCAGCTAACTAAAAAATGAGAAATTGCAGGAAAATTTCGTATGTATATTATACGACGGATTTTTTTTTGTTTGTTAAAAAGGTAGATTTGGCATGAATTTGCATTACCATAAATTGTTAAACTCTGTGAAAGCGTGCTACCAAGTTATGTAAAGTAGAAACAGGCACAAAAGCGCTTTTATAAAGACAAAGCAGAGTTTTAGCAAATGCACTTTAATATTCAAGTACCTACATTTTAATAAATTTGTGTATATACGCTTAGCTACTTTGGGGAGTGTATACATAATATATTGGAGGCTGGTACTTCCGTCGCTATCGCAACATTAAAACAGTGCCGTCTGGTGAACCTTGAATAAATGTAAAAAAAAAACAATGCAAATACAAGTTATAAAATAGTGGACAAAATATTAAGAAGGCAGCAGCATATAAACGACCGAAACAGCCAGCTTTCGATCTTGGCCATCTGTCTGGATACTCCTGGGAGCACTGAACAAAAAATATTTGGGATGTAAGTATATTTTTCTTTACGTGCTTTTATTACTTATTTTACATGTTTGCGTTGGTCAAAAGGTTAATTTATGCAAAATACGATGGCAGGCACAGGCATATGTATGTATTTACATATAAACCACTGTGAGCCAGGCACACGCAACCGTATTGATTTCTGCGACGCGTAAAAAATTGCACACAGTGTACCTACCAGCACTCTGATTTTACATATTGCTACCGTTCGCTGCAAGCCCCCACAAGTCACTCTGATCCTCAGTAAACCCGGCAAGCAGTCACTATAATGTTTGGACAAACTCATTTAATAAATAATTTTATATCGCCTCTAATTCAAACAAACAAAAAAACTACACACATAGATATGTATGAATGTAAAAATTTCCATTTTCACCCTATTTGACAATGGGTATAATAGCAGGAGCAACAATCATTACTTTGACGGGGTGGCAATGGAGCTTGCTTTTAATTACAATGCAGTACAGCTACGCCAGCGTTCCAGCTGGTCACAATTGCAAACACCTACTCCTACTTCTCTACTATTGTATGCATGTATGTATGTATATGTACATATGCATACGTAAGTGCAATATGTAGACATGATTTTTGATCGTTGCGTTGTTTTTGCCCCTCTTTCCGGCTATCACGCTCCTTTCACAAGATGGGTGTATTCATTTTCGGTACACGGCACATTTGGGTATGGTCTGAGTCTTCATCGGCAAATGTGCACTTTCATTTATTTCATTATTAGAAACAAGTGAAACACTTTAATATGGATCTATGGGGTGTCTAACAAAAGTTCGGTAAATTAAGCAGTTTTTGAAGAACCGAAAAATTGTACATGCATCTTACGGTATGTCATTAAATATAATTAAGTGCCATCATGTCACCTTCCCAAAATCTCGCTCTCCGATACCAGCTTCTTAGAACTGGTGCGCTCCAAGTTAGACTATACCGCCGTAATTTAAGAGACTTTACTATGCTTGCCATATCAATAGAGTTGAACGTATCCAAAACAAAAAATTTGTTCGTTTTGCCCTTCATTCTCTGCATTTCGTTCACCTTCCTACCGAGGTAGATCTCTACTTATTATTCTTAAGTTATTAGATTGTAGGTGGTCTATTCTCTCCCTTACTTTTGTCTCTAACTTAATACGTGGTGTCATAGATTGCCCCATACTTGCTTGGACGTATCCATTTCGCTGTGAAACAGAGATGTTTAGGAAATCGCGTCCCTTTCTCTTTGGATATGTGTGCTTCTAATGCTTCTATATTCAGGGCTCTAAAGGCATTCAACTTGCTCTCAAATTCTTCTGTTCAGGACTTTTCTTACTCGGAAACCCATTTCAAATCAATACTCTATGAATTAATTACTTAGTTTGTACTTCGTATTTATAATTCGTAGTAATCTTTAGGAAATGTAATACTTTCTGTATTAATAAATAAATTTTTGAAAAATTGCTCAGTACCTACGGAGATGAGAAAACGTAAGATTACTATTGAAAGGTCGATCGAAATTCCGCCACCAACGTAGCGCGATTCTTAACAGCGTTCGAATGAACTCCACGAACTCTTCATCTCTTAAGACCATTTGTAACTCGTATCAAATATTCCAGACTGGACATTTTTCCGTGGAGGGGGAGCCGCTACTTCTTACAGCACGATAATGGTGCAGCTCATACCGCTGGAATGTTAATAACGGTTTCGCGCCTTCTGGCATCCAAGCCAAGATATTCGCATATCCCTGATGAAGTAGATCACGCGCTGTGTGATTTCGGCTCATTTCTAAGAATGTGATTTTGATTAAAGAAATGTATTGAAATTAGTCATAATGCAGAAAAAATAATGAAGATTAAAAATAAGAAAATAAAAACATTTTTTGCGCGGTTTTACCGCACAACTTACCGAACTTTGGTTAGTCCCCTCGTATTGGGAAGAAATTCATAAAAATGGCAAATATAAAAGAAACATTTCACTCGATACCGGGTGGTATACACTGGTGTGGCATACATACATACATATGTATTAATGCATATAAACAAGGGTGGTCCTTAAATGTGGGAAGCAAATTTTTACATCAGATTTTCTAAGCCTCAACGCCAAGTCATAGTCGAAGATATCACATACATATAAATTTTGGTGCCGATTGGAGACGGTTAAGGCGTGTCGCACAGGGGACAAAGTTCAGATTCCTATATGGAGGGCGTGTGTGAATCGGTAGCTAAGTTCTATGGGGAAAGCTGTTGAATAATATTTTTACTATGGTGAGACAGTTTTGCCAATCTGCTGTGTGAAATTAAATCTTTTTTGACAGCAGTAAATTTTTGATAACCGCAGATTTATGCGCAATAAACTATTACAAATTGAGTGAAATTAATATTTTAAGAAAACATCTACCATCATTGATTGCAGTTCATCAACTTAAGCTTTTATTTTACGAAAAATTACACACAGCAGCAATCTTTGCAATTGTCAAAATTTTCTACGCATTTGTCAAAAATTTCACTAGCCTCATGGGCTACTGAAATTTTATTCACCTCAAACTTGTCAAAAATTTACTTGCCGCGAACCTTGTTACCGATTCACACACGCTCGGAGACTCAAAAAATTAAAATAATTTTTTTTTTCATCTAATACTCTAAATCTATACCTACAACCATAGTCGAAGATATCACATATAAATTTTGGCCCGATTGAAGTCGGTGTGCCGCACAGGGGTCAAATTTCAGATTACCCTATGAAGATGTCTTAACCGACTACAATCGGGACCAAAATTGATATGTGATATCCTTGACCTCAGTATTTTCGATTTTGGGTAGTTAATGAAAAAAAAAAGATTTTTTTTTGAGTCCATAGAGGCATTTGGCCTTCGACCCCTTTGCGACACGCCTTTACTAAGTCCAAATGGGACCAAAATTTATATGTGATATTACGACTGTGGTAGTACCGATTGAGGGGGTGAGACTGAAAAAAAAAGTTATTATTTGATTTTAAGGGCCTCCCTAATACACATACATAGATACACATGTATGTAAATGTCTATGGAGCCATTCAACCATTGTGAGTTTTTACATTTACGCGCCAGTAATTGACCAGCATAATTGGTGAAATGCCTCATCCAATGCATTAACTTTAGCGATGATGATGGTCTTATTAGTGACTATGGTGGATACTCTAGCTAATTTAGTAAGTTTCGTAACGTTCATATTTCCGTAATATATGGTGCGCCACTATTTTTTTTATGTATGCGCATACATGTGTATGCTAACCCTAAGGTTATAAACGTAATAAAATTTTATTATTTTATAAGTACATATGTACGAAAACTTGTATAAAGAAACATATGTACCAGCGTTGCCGAATTGACGATTTCGTCGTCATAAGCTCAATGACGTTTTGACGATTCTTTATTTTAGTTTTGTCCACTAAATTACGTACGTATGTATGTAAAAACGTATGTAAGCGTAAACGTAAACGTAATCCAAAATACAAGCATTTTACACGAACAAAATTCCTTGGAAAAAATTACCGAACACCGAGTACCAAGCTCGGTGTGAAGACCCCTACTTTAATACTGGATAAAAATCTTCAAAACTTTAAACCAGTGGACATGGCGAATTTATACAAGGTGGTGTTAATGGCGAATTTAGATTTTCGCCGCGGTACTTCTTAATGTCAAAATGATGTGTTTGTTGTAAACAAGGCGAATTCTTATTACAACAAACACACCATTTTGACATTAAGAAGTACCGCGGCGAAAATCTAAATTCGCCATTAACACCATCTTGTATAAATTCGCCTTGCCAGTGGAGTTCAACTATTTAAAACCAGTTGTGATTTAAATTGTAAATTTAAATTGTTGTTAACAATTGCAAATCCACTTTTATTAACCCATGCATGTGGGTACCATTTGGTTTTGTAATGTGTGGCCATATTTATTGGGCCGTATGCATAAAACCTAAGCAAATGCTTTTTCTTAAAATTTCAGACCTTTTACTCAATTTTTATCAATTAAATTTAAGTTAAAGGTAGGCAATTTTAAGAAAACGCAATTGCCGAGTTTTTATGCATACGACTCACTGTATGTAATTCCTTTGTCTTTTTTTATTTTGTTAAAAAAAAATACAATAAACAAAAATTTGACGATTTTTTGGCCGAAATGACGAAAGCTTTCGGCAACGCTGGTACATATATATGCACGCCTATGGCCAAAAAAATAGAAACACATAAGCCACTTTGAAACTGTTTTTAATGGATTTTTTTTATAAAAGTCCAGCTCATATATACCAATCACCTTATACATCCAAATTTTAAAATAAATCATAAAAATTCAATATTTTTAATCAGAATTTTTTGAATAATTAAATAAAAAAAACTCCGTTTAGTTTTGCCAATTACTTTGCCGGCAGTGTCACGCATTTGTATGTATGTTCGACAATTATCAAAAGTTAAATTTTTAGCAGCTTTAAACTTGCACTTTATTATGATACAATTTAATGGGCTATAAAAAGTGCATACTGCAGCCTAAAATTCGGATTAAAAAGTTCGAATTTTTGATGAAACATTTTCGGCTTTTTCAAATTTTCGTACAAAGTTTACAATTAGGTTTTTTATGGTCTCAGGGCCGGCCGCAGGATTTCTCTTTAGGGGGGCTTTTATGCAAAGTCATTCGTAACAACCAAGAACATCTTTGTTTTAATCAGAGTATTTACCATATTGTATTTAATTGTGAATATAAAAAAATAACACTAAGTTTCAGAAATTTGTGTAGGTATTTGATAATTTTATTAGCTATGTAAGATAAATACGCATAAAATCCTTGTTTAGAGCTGATTTGTTGATTCCGGACACGAAATGTGTTGTTTTTGGGTTCCTCACGCTCTGAGCACTTTCGGCACGTATTTTTGACACTTATAAGAGAGTAACTTATTTTTACACTCTAATTACACTATGCGACAGTCAAAATCGGGATGGGATGAAACCAACGGGAAATGTTATATCGGTCAAAAACAAGTTATACGTGTCCCGGCGTTTCGCTGGGTCACGTCTAGGAATCGAGATATATATATAACTATCATATAGGGGAAATTGTCACCTTTGGTGGACTTTTTTTGACATAACTCGAGAACCACTAGTCCGATTTTGCTCAAACAAATTTAAAAAAATTAAAAATTACAATTCCTTTAATCTGTTCATATAACGTTTTTCTATATAATCAACAGTTTTGCCGGTAAAAATAAATGTATGAAGAAAAAAAATATTTTTTGCCTAAAATATTAAATTTTTTTA